TTATTTATTTATTTATTTATTTATTTATTTATTTTAATTTGATCAGAGAGAGGGAGGGAAAGTGAGAAAGCAAACCACCAGGTCTGGGACTTGAACCATGGTAGGCCATGTGGGAGTGTCTAGTGCTTTAAGCACCATGCCACCTGCTGGTCCCAATGCTAAGAATTCTTGAGTGAAAGATAGTAGAGTATACCATCCCAAAATATGTTACTTTGATATAAATATTATTTTGAGCTAAAGATAACTGAAAAGAATCAGATACAAGAAAATCTGTCTGCCCTTCCCCTCTTTGCCCAAAAGCAAGATATAAGTTTACAAAGGTGTCCTTCCTTTCCTCTCTAACAGAAAGGACAAAAGTTAATTACAGATAACAACTTCAGATACTTATCAGCCTGGAGATGGTGTCAGAGAAACCTACATAACAAACTTTATTAACTAGACTTTACCTTCCATTAGTTTTCCGTTAGACCAGTGATGTAGCCATTATGCCATCTGCTGGTCCCATGTGCTTTTAGCATAATCCACTACATGCAAATGGATGCTCTTTTTCCTTTTTTTTTTTTTTTTTTTTTCCATCTTTAGCTCCCTAGCTTCATCTGTCAAAGTCTTCTCTCTGCTGTTTGGTGTCCCATCTACCCTAACATATTGAGGGGCATATCCAGGTGGCTAACACAGTAGCCATTGAATACCATTGTCCTAATAAGAAGAACCTCAGAGGCCAGAAGAGTACTAGACATTTCTCTACCTCTCTGGATCTTTGTTTACAGTGCCAGATGTTTTGTGACATTCTTTCCTCTTCTGAAGGGTGAGCTGAACAGAGATACAGGGAGTTAGAAAAAGATGCGAGGCACTGATGTCATGTTGTTTATTGGCTGAGTTCAAGGTGAGCTCACAGAGCTCTAGTAGCACTCACAAGATACTTCCTTCCTCTTGGAGCTTATAACATGCATGAAGAGCACTGACAGAGCACTTCCTCCCTTTCTCTTAAAGGCACTAGAGACAATAGTAGCTTGTTGGAGATTGAAACCAGCCCAGGCCTGAGAGATAAGCCAGAAGGAAAGAATGCAGAAGGGAATTGAAAGCAACCACATTCCCAGATGGAAAGCTGCAAAACTGCATGGTCAACCAGATGGAGCTCCAGGTATGAGCTGAGTCTTAACATGTTGGACATCTTTCTCCGCCAGGTCCCAACGCGACTCTCGAGCCGCAGTTAGAACTACATTACCCAGAAAGCCTTGCGTCGAACGGCAATGCGTTGACCAATGAGAACCTAAGAGCGGAACTTCCGAGCGGCCGCGGGCGGTGGGGCGGGACTTCTGGCATCTTCGTGACGGCCGTTTGGGCTTCCCTGGGCCCAGAGGCTCCAGCTTCGCGCCAGACCGAGGTGCCTGTGCTAGAGCGCCAAGAGGCGGCCTGCGCATCGGGACACCGGGGCCTGCGAAGCCGGCTGGGATGGCGGCGCCTGGGTCCCGCCCCG